TTTAGTCTTCCCCCGTTACCATATTATGTAATTTTGGCGCTTTTTCATAAAAGATGCTGCCTAGGCTTGGCTTGTTTTGGCTTACTGAAATGAAAAATTAATAGTGACATTAGTGTTAGGTCTTCATTCACACAAGGAATGCAGCCCTGGAAGATTAATGTGAGTACAAACAACTTAAAATTATCTGTAACACTTTTACACTTTGCTTTACACTACATCTGCTTACAACTATATATATGAATATGCTGAAAAATGTTGCCAAAGAGTTTAATGCAGAGAACCAAAGGGATTGTATTTTTGGAATAATAATACCACTCGGGTTGCAACACACATGATTTTCATAATTTATATTTCAACGTATCTGCTCACTAATTTCTTGATGAATCTTCTGGTCTATTAAACATCAGAAAGATATTCAAAGATATTAAAGGGGACCTATCATGCAAAATGCACTTTTTTTTATGTCTTCTACACATAAACATGTGTCCCCTCTGTGTAAAGAGATTCTGAAATTTTCAGGAAAAAAGCTTTGCTCTCTTTTTGTCCTGATCCATTTATATAAAAACCTGTCTGAAAATGAGCTGATCAGATTTTGGCCACTTCATGATGTCATAACGATTTTTTGGCTTGTGTAACCATTAGCCAATCACCAACCAAGGTAACACCCGCCCACTTTATCACCTGAGGTGCCGTTTACATGCCAAAACGGGTTGTATATCTGCTACTTTTCTCTCGCGTATAGCCCGTTCGTTCACACGAGGCCGACACGTAAACGCGGAAACGGACCCCGCAAACGATAACGGGTCCCAAGGTGGGTAGATCTGCAAACGGAACGCTCTGGGGGGCAAAACGGCTCAGTGTGTACGCCCTATACGATCATTTTCTAATAACGATGAAATAGCCCCGCCTCCCTCTCCCCACGTCTCCCTCTCCCCACGTCTCCCTCTCCCCACGTCTCCTGCTCAGAGATCTGCTGCTGGGCTGTCAGAAGAGGGGGAGGAAAAGAGAGGCTCCGTTTATTATTCTTATATTATTATATAGGCTAGAGTCTTTATCGATTTGTTTTAAAGCTCAATAAATAACAAAGAAGACCTCTGACTGGCACTTTTCTAATTTTGTCCGGAAGATTTCAACTTTAACGGACATGTTGACCGGCGAAAAAAAATGTTAGCGGAAACTCTGCCGCATGGTTCCCTCGTCCCTTGGAAGAGGCGGAGAGGTGGGTGTTTTTCATCTGCTGGTGACTACCAGAGAGATTAACAGCAGGAGCACTCGCCGTCCACCGCAGAGAATAAACAGAAGGGCATGGCAACCATGCTCCGGGGTCTTCTTCGCTGCTTTTGGTGTATTTTGTGGCGGCAGCAGCGCCACTTACAGGCCCGGCATATGTACTACAGCGTTTCCAGGGTCGAGCGGTCTCGTGTGAACGGCCACGTTAATTGAGCCGAATGCGTGTGAACGGAAGACTTTTTTGAAAACGAATTCGGTGTGTAAACGCAGGGGCGCCGCCAGGGATTTTGGGCCCCATGAAAATATATCACATTGGGCCCCACCACCAGGCCCAGGCCACGCCAACCAAGCACAATTGCTGTAACCACACCTCCAGAAACCAACCCACTCATTTATGCTTTAAATAACTCTACCTGTACAGGCTTAAATCTATCTTGTAGTCCAATACTAACTGCACAATATTTACTGACACTGAGCGGTGAAAATATAACACTGTGCAGACTGCAAATTCTACTGCAACATTCTGCTGCAGTAGAATTCACTATTTGATATACCACTAACATTCCTGACAATAGACCTCAATAGTCAGCTTTTATGGTGTACATGCCTTTTTATGGAACATTCATAAATCAAAAATAAATATAACTTAAATATACATGACCTCTTAAATTAAAATAAAGTGAACATTAACACAAATATTATAATTTATAAAATGCTATAACAAAAAAATAACATAAGCAGCAGATTTTTTTATTAAATATACATACTACAAAATAAGCGGGTATTAAAGTGTAAATGGACAACAAAACGGAAATGGAAATTAAAAGGCCTGATGGTGGTGCTAAATCAGAGCCTATTACCTGTTCTCAGTCTTTTTCTCATCATGCATTTTGTATAGTGATCCAATATCGTTACCATAGCCTTGCCCTTTACGAGCCCTGGCTCAGCCTTACTCACCAAGAGCCCAGCGCCTAGCCTTCTTACAGGCAAAGTCACTGATCAAGTCCTTGATGTCCAGCTTTCTAGACAACTGGCTTTCAATGGACAGCATGGCAAGACTGCAAAGCCTTATGGGGGGTCAGGGCTGCGGAGCCTATAGATGGATCTGTTGGTCCTGGCACCAGGGGGAGGGACAACTGAATAGCTGCTAAAAATGTAACTGCATTTATTAAATGTCAGCTAAAAGAGGAGTGAAATGAAAAACCTGAAGATATTAACAGTACTTAATGTCAGCAAAACATTACAATTATTATTTACAATGGACTAAGCTTAGCTAACAGACTAATTTCCACCACTCATAGACCACACCCACCTCTTCTTTTGAAAAACTGGGTGACATACTGTCGCTCTTTAGTCCCTCTCTCTTGTCTTTCTCTCCTTTCTTTTCTTTTTTGAAAGCCTGACTGTGTTAGACGTTGAGACATCGTACACACGTAAGTATTAGCATGCCTCCTCACATGCTCTCACTCTCTGCTGCTAGGAAGAGCGGTGCCGCACAGTGTTTGGAGGCAGGACCAAACCATTACATGTAAATAGAGGGGGACGTACAGAGGCTTTGGATAATTCACTTTTGGAAGAAAATAAGTTAAATGAATTGGAAGTTTAGTGAGTATATTATCAAAATGACGTTATATTAATGTCAATTATTGATGATTGATGAAAGGTTACTTAAAAAAAATGTCTTAGTGTTCTAAAGTTTTTTGGGGCCCCTGTCAGTCACGGGCCCTTAGAATCGTCCTAACTTTTCACCCCCTTACCCCTGTGTAAACGCAAACGTACCTGTTTCGTCCTCGTGTAAATGGGGCCTGAATCTCCTCCTAGAGCACCATTGTGTTCTTTTTAACCAGATCTCTCTCAGAGGGGCGTGGGGAGTGGCTCCTTATTTTTCATCTAAAGTAACAGACAGAGAATCAGCACTTTTCAAACAGGGCTGAAACAGAGGGGATTATGGGATGCTACAATCAATGGGTGATCTGTTTGGTATTTCGAGCCAAACACTTCAGAGACATGTTTTGTATATATCTGAGACCTATAATATTACATTACATTGCATTTAGCTGGCGCTTTTATCCAAAGCGACTTACAATAAGTGCATTCGACCAAGAAGATACAAACTTGAAGAAAACAGAATAATATACGTACATCAGATTTCATAGAGCCAACACATTTCAAGTGCTACTCAACTGGCTTTAGGTAAGCCAGTATAGTAAGTGCTTTGTTAGTAATTCTTTGTTAGTAATTCTATCGCTCAAAGTGGAGTCAAAAGAGATGAGTTTTCAGTCTCCCCCGGAAGATGTGCAAGCTTTCTGCTGTCCTGATTTCAATGGGGAGCTCATTCCACCATTTCGGAGCCAGGATAGCAAACCGACGTGTTTTTCCTGATGGGAACTTGGGTCCCCCTTGCAGTGCGGGTGCAGCGAGCCGTTTGGCTGATGCAGAGTGGAGTGCACGTGCTGGGGTGTACAGTTTAACCATGTCCTGTAGGAAGGGCCAGATCCATTCGCAGCATGGTACGCAAGTACCAATGTCTTGAAGTGGATTCTAGCAGTTACTGGAAGCCAGTGAAGGGAGCGGAGGAGCGGCGTGGTGTGGGAAAATGTTAGAAGGTTGAAGACCAGACGAGCCGCTGCATTCTGGATGAGCTGCAGAGGTCGGATGGCACATGCAGGTAGACCAGCCAGGAGGTCTAATATATTGATGAAAAACAGTATAAGGGAACCTTTAAGCCCTTCAAATAATCTCTCCAAAACCCAGACATTAAGTTTACTTTCACATAATAGAAAGATAAGTAAAATAATATTAGAGAAGCTGGAACAGGGAATTGTAAAGAAAAATGTAAAAAGATAAACATTTCAATTACCAATAAACTTTAATATCAGCTAATAAGTTAATTTGTTACAAGATGACTTTTCAGTGGGAGTTTAAACACCTAATTGGATGCCAATGTCCTCAGATGAACAGGGAGTCTGTTCCAGAGACTGGGTCCAACTCTACAAACGGCAGCTTCCCTGCAGGTCTCTGGTCATTTTGGGTGTAGCAAGCAGCTGAGATTATTTGGATGTGACAGCTCAACAAAGGACAAATCCTGGTGTATCAAAGTCAGTGGCACGTCTATGACAAGATTTATGGACAAACACTGCGATTTTAGGAAGCAATCCCAAAACCAACTGGAAGCAAGTGTGGGGACTTCAAAGGCACAGCAGGCTGATGTGAGCTTTTTTTCCTTTTTCCGGACTAGCTGTAATGATTTGATAGGCTTATTTACAGCTCAGAGTATTGCACTGCAGTAAAGGTTTTTTTTTTTTTAAACAGAGGCATTAGCTAGCAAGATAACTGCTTTATTTTCCAATGTGATAACACTTTCTTTGTCATGTGTATCACTTTACTCTGTTCACTGCCTGTACAGAATCCTCTCCTCCTAAGAGTAAAGACTAAAGATTTCTGCTGAACAAAGCATATTGTCACTCCACATCATTATCAGTTTGCCACCAGGAAATCAAATGAAGGTACCTGTCTGTTTGCACCATCTGCAGATAACAACAGGATAGAATAGTCACGTGAACGAATAATTAAATTACCATGACGCTCCCTCTAAAAATCAATGAGGCGTGAGATATGAAAACATAATTTGAAAGCCTTTGTGGGTGATGAAACAACAGCCTTTAAATGAGTTGTTCTCCCGTGCCTATTTAATGGTAAATATCATGGGGAGCCTTTACAACCCTCTCATTGGCTCAGAAGTCAGAGACCCCGTCGTATAAAGCGCGCGTGCCTGATCTAGCAGCCTTTTACCGCTGGCAAGTGATTTGGAACAAACGGAGAAATACCCTTTACGCACAGAGCACTTGGAGAGAAGCGCAGCGCGGCGATACATTTTCGGAGAAAAATAGGTTGGTATACTTCATGTTAGAAGTTAAACGCGAAGGAGGTTAGTGATGCTTTGTTTGATGAACAAAGTTATTCAGATTCGCCTTTGCTAATTTAATTGACGACTTTCAATTATCAATTGAAATTCCAACACGTTAAAGTGATTTAAATAACAATAAGATTGATTTGCTACAGAAGCTGACTTCGTTGAAGATGAAACATATCTTAATAACGATCGTGTAAATCGTTTAGAGGACACTTAGACGATTATTTATTTTGTATCTCATTGTGTTTGCGCATTGATTACACGTTGGATTAAAGTGCTTTTTGGAGATGCTCAACTTCTTCATTATCTAAATTGTGAAATAATTGTTTGCACCTTTAAACTTCAGTCCTCTCTTTTGCTGTAAACTGTTGCTGCATGTCTCAACATATTGTTTACTGCAACACGTATATGAACACATTTTCATTTTGAGTAGATATTTAGTAAACCTCAACACTAAGCTGTAATTCTCTTGAGTTTGTTTGTTTATTATCGTTTGATGTGCTTTTTTTCTCTTCACGCATCACTTTTCTTTCAACAGAGTTAACTGTGAGCGGAGGCGTCTGAGTGGGCATGTGGCTTCTGGAGAAGCTCCGCAGCTCTGTGGAGAGCAGTGGGACAAAATCGAAGTCCCCACACACAACACAGGCCATTCCTGTCTATGTATATGCCAACGTACTCACTCCAGAAAAGATCCCTGATTTCTTCATCCCCCCCAAACTTATTTGCTGCCCACCAGAGGAGTCTCTTATCCAAGAGTCTAAGAACTGCTCCACATTACGACCCTCTGTGTCTGACCATGCCATCTGCAGCCAGAGTCCCAAAGCTCGGAGCAGCAACAACCCCAGCAGCCCTGGCCTCTTTTCACGCCTGGGAGGGGACACACGCAACCTCCAGAGGTCAGCCAACCGCCACATCATCCAAATAGAGAGTGCTGATGATCCAGGTGCCGGATCTGGGGACAGAGCCAGTGTCAACACGAATGCTGACCCTCAGTCACAGACTGCAATGTCTCTGCCGTATGTGCCCAAAGCTCAGACTTCATATGGCTTCTCCACCCTGGTGGAGTCTCCTCACACCCGCCGCAAGGAGAGCCTGTTCCACAGCGACCCGGGCAGCCCTCTCACCTCCCCAAACTCCCAGAGGCGCACCCAAGGGGGGACCCTTCTGGCCCCATCTGACTGCAACCCCTACCGCTATTTTAGCGGTGGAGAAAGCGACACCTGCTCCTCAGCAGAGTCATCCCCGTTTACCTCCCCTCTCCTGTCCCGCTCTGCCTCTCTCCTACGCGCCATCACCCAGGAGACACAAGCCAAGGTCAGGCCCTTTAAGCATAAGTGTGTATTAGGAATGGCTGCCATGAAGCTGAAATGTGTTCCACAAGTGTTTTTCCTTGTTTGATTCACCATGAGGCTACTTTATGTGTCTTTAACAGTTCCTTTTTGTCTCTCCCTCCAGGTGTCTCGTGCCAAGCGCTCTCTGGCACGCCACAGTTCTCTCTCCACTGATGAATGCAGTTCAGCAGACAATAGTCCCAACATGCAGCGCCGCCGGCTGCGCTGCCCCCCCTCTCCAGCTTTTCGTGGATGTAAAAGCCGCAGCTCAAGGGCTGCAGATTCAGACCTCCTGCAGCGCGAGCACACCATCAACCTCCACAAGGGGGGGTCACTGAGGCTGAGCACACACTATGAGCCAGAGGCATCTCGTCTGAGGGTGCGCGTGCTGACAGCCGAGGCCCTCTATGACAGGCAGACAGACCTTAAAAGCATCAACTGCTGTGTGGCACTCTACCTGAACCCTGGCAAGCAGCAAAAACAGAGAAGCACCATCATCAAGAATAGCAGGAATCCAGTTTTCAACGAGGACTTCTTTTTTGACGAGCTGTCCCAGGCACAAGTAAAGAGCCTGGCCATGAAGATTAAGGTAGTGAACAAAGGAACCAGTCTGAGGAGAAACGTGCTTCTAGGAGAAAGGGAAGTGCTGCTCAGTGAGCTGCTGGCAGGCCTCTAGGGAGCCACTGTCAAGACTGCGGGTGAAAACAAGTAGCTCCAAATCTTAAGGGGCCATTCCTCTCTCTCTGGCTACCCTTTGATCACACTGAACATATGTGATAAATACTGGGCAGGGTAAAAGTTACAGATGACCAGGCAGTTGAATCTTGCACACTGTGTTATGTACTGTACATAAAGAGACAAACTCAAGCCCCTGTAGAATACAAATTCACTGTCCTGGTTCACTACCAAGATTACCAGTCAATCAGCAATGTGAAAAGTGGAGAAATTGTCCTTGTTTTTTGTATTCTCTTGAAGTATTGAGTTACATAATGTGTTGCGTTCTCTCATGAGCATTGTAATGCTGTGCCTCAATATCATGTCAGCTGTGATGCAGTGATGATCTGGCTGGAGCTGTAGTTTTTGTAATAATGTAGTAATATTACGTGTGGGTTTTGCACGTTCCTGTGGAAGATAATAACGCCTCTGTGTAGTTGAAAGAGTTTATATTTGGAAAATGCATTTTGCTAGTGGGTGTTATGTTAATATGACTGTTGTTATGTGACGTGCTTTTGAACGTAAGAATAAAAACACTAAACTCTCACTGATGTTTTTTTATCCTGCAGCTAATCATAATATAATATAATCATTTTGCTGGATCAAAATACAACCCTAGGAATTTATTGTAAAGCCTCCATGCTCCCAACCTTTCCCTTCTGTAAACAAGTACGAGGCTTCATCCTCTGAGACAGACACAGGCGTCATATGTGAAGCTTTTAATCCTAGACCTCTGCACGCAATATTATCTATCTGTGCATTCAAACTCCCTGTTTAATTTAAAAAAAATGTTTGCTACTCAGGCTCTCCTCCAGTGAGGTTTAAATAGTTATTAAAGATGACAATCGTGGTTGCTAAAATGAAAACTTTCCTGTTCTATAGTTATGTGTACAGTGAGGCTATGTATTGATTTATAAGTTCAATAATTTGGATGATAAATGTAAATGAATTTGGGCTGAGGGAAAACATGTACAAAACATATTGTCCACACAAATACATCTGTCAGGCAAAGATGGTCCCAATGAGTATTAGCCTAAACAAGCATTAGTGGACCTTATGCCTCCTCTACTGGTGAATCATCAGAATGACACCTCACAATAACCCTAGAAGCACTACAGTGCATTCAAAGCATCAAAATACTCTCTTGGCAATTTCTTATTGACTGGTGAACTAACCTGGGTGTCTCCCGTCTTCTGTACATATGCAATAGACGCTCTCATGACCCTGACAAAGAGAGAAAAATAGATTTAATATATCAATTGCTTGTACCACACGAAAACAAGTCACCACAATACCCATGTGGGATGGAATCATCTCTGGGCTTCATACATTTATTTAAATTGAATTTATCTCCCACCGTCTTGAATGCAACAAGAAAAAAACATTTTGTAATTAGTTTTGCCTCTGTGGACTTGGTGAGGCAATTCAATTAAAATGAATAGTCTAATAATGTCTGAATTACACATAAAATCAGCCTATAATCATGAACAACTTTTTTCCCCCACTGTTATTAAAGTCGCTGAAAACGTATTTTCTCAATTCTTACTTGTCCTTGGTTCAATTAACATCAAATATGTCTGTCTGTTCTGTTTTTCAGGTCACAGTTGGAAATATTGATGTTATGTTAAATCCAATATTCTATGGGTAAAACGGTAGACAAATCAGTAGCTTGATTTAATCATGTTTCATATCATTTAAGCAGTCAGGACAGCTCTCTGTGATATTGACAGATTTAATTGATACTTTGCTAAAGATAAACTTCAGGTGTTTCCCAGGCCATTTAGAATTTAAATCAACTGACAATCACATCTGCTATTTTGACAAGGAAATGTGTTCAGTTGATCAATATCACACATTCTTGCTTCCAGCAAAGCAATTATTTTAACCCTTCAGTATGATTTGATCTGAATTTCCACTGATACATTATATTTTTACTCTTAGCAGACTTAGTTTTAGCTTGACTTTGTATTTCAGAAATCTTTTTATATTATATAAATATTACACACACATTTTAAATTTTTTGTATTTTGGTTTCCATCTCTTGCTTTAAGATATAACTGAACATTATTGCCATCCTGATCTTTGTGATGATGTTGGCCAGCATACTGAGATGCAGAAAAAAAGTCAATATACCCATTCAACTAAATGTTAGTCTCGGCATCATACACATCAATATTCAGGTCAATATGCAAGTCGATATTCTGACAACTGGCTTTGCATAGTAATATAGATTAAGGTGATCTCCTCAAGATCAGCCATATATGTTCCCATCTTAATTCCACATAAACGTACTTTATGTGTATTTGCTCTAAACTCCTCTCCTTTGTTATAGTGTTCTTAAGATGAGATAGTTATCAAGGTGCTATTGGAATTGCACAGTACATTAAAGGGAAACTAATTACTCCCCTAGTCGCACAAACACAACATAATCACCAAAATGCTGTGCTCTCTTTCCTACAATTACATAATTACATTCAATCCACCATAGACAATGCTACCAAAACAATATTTACGGTCCTGTCTTAATGAGGGAGTATGGTGCAGCCACCTTGTTATTCACTGCCCTATTCTTGTGACATGACTGCAGAAGCCTCTCGGCTGTTGCAAGCAGATTATTTGCAGATGATGAGGTCTCTGTGTCAGGTGACAGTGTTGATCATTTCAGCTGTTCTTTAGCCTGACTCATGACTGAAACTATATTAAGTATAGGGATTGTTTATAAATGTTGTTTTTGGGTAATTTGAGATTAACAATAAAATGAGCATTTGTGTGAGTTTCTGCATTTTTCATCATCATGTAACTGGAAGAAATTATATTTTGTACAGCGAAAAAAAACTCCACAAAATGCATTTTTGAAATAAAATGTATCTGTTAATGTATCAGAAGCCTAATCACACATTATTGTATTGTTTGAATATCACTTGCAGGGATATCCATAGGAACCCCACTCTCTACGATCGAATGTCAATTGTTTTTATTGTGTTAGACAGTTTGTACATATCCTTGTTGATGGGAATCAATTAACGCCTAAATTCAGTACTTTCTGAGAGTTAGGATCAGTGAGCCGCGGATCAGCTGGCTCTCTATCCATCTGAACAACCCATGGAACAACCATAACAAACGGACCCATCAGCTGTTAGGTCATTGAAGTCAAATGCATCATGGGAAATGAAGTTCTGTATGAAGGAAAACGCCTTCTGATTTAGAAAGAGGGAATTCCATCAAAACTACGTCACCCACAATGCCTCGCAGCAACCGTAAACATAGACCTGTCAAACAACACAAACGCCATCTTGACAGCACCCTCAAAATGGCAGAAAGATGTGAGCTAGAAACCGAGTCCAAACTAAGATTCCTGCTGTCTGTTATTTAAAACAGCACTCGCTAGTTTTTCCATAAACGAGTGGTTATGGGGTTGGTGCTCTACGCGGCAGTTTACAGCCAGTAAAATGGATATACCGACGGCGGTTTTCAACGCGGCGAAAGATGGTAAGCTGAAACTTATCCAGAAGTTGCTGAGCAACAAAACTCCTGAGGAGCTGGAGGCTTTAGCCGAGGAGAAAACCCAGGGAGGAACTCCTCTGCTGATAGCCTCTCGATACGGACACTTAGAAGTTGCAGACTATCTACTTGAACATTGTAAAGCAAATGTTGAACTCGGGGGGGCTGTTAACTTTGACGGCGAGACCATCGAGGGGGCTCCTCCGCTGTGGGCAGCCTCTGCCGCCGGTCACCTGCCTGTGGTGAAGACGCTACTGAAACACGGTGCCTCGGTGAACAACGCGACAATAACTAACTCAACGCCGCTCCGAGCTGCCTGCTTTGACGGCCACCTGGAGATCGTCCGCTACCTGGTGGAGCACAAAGCTGACATGGAGGTAGCCAACCGCCATGGCCATACCTGCCTCATGATCTCCTGTTACAAGGGCCACAAGGAGATAGCCAAGTTCCTCCTGGACCGCCGTGCAGATGTCAACCGCAAGAGTGTCAAAGGGAACACCGCCCTGCACGACTGTGCGGAGTCAGGCAGTCTGGACATCATGAAGATGCTGCTAAAGTGCAATGCTCGCATGGAGAGAGATGGATATGGAATGACCCCACTCCTCGCTGCAAGTGTTACAGGTCACACCAACATTGTAGAATATCTGGCCCACCAGCCTCGCACCTCCAGAGAGGAACGAATCGATGCACTCGAACTCCTTGGGGCTACTTTTGTGGACAAAAAACGGGATCTTTTGGGAGCGATGAGGTACTGGAGAAGGGCCATGGAGCTGAGACAACCAGGGGACAAATGTGGATCCCTAGCTAAGCCCCCACCTGGCCCTCCTATCCCGGCCTATGGCTGTGCGCAGGAGGTGACCACTGCAGAGGAACTGGAAGCCTTGATCACAGATCCTGACGAAATGAGGATGCAGGCTTTGTTGGTAAGAGAACGCATCCTGGGCCCTTCCCACCCAGACACCTCATACTACATCCGCTACAGAGGAGCTGTGTATGCTGACTCCGGCAACTTTGAACGCTGCATCAGCCTGTGGAAATATGCTTTAGACATGCAGCAGAGCAACTTGGACCCTCTCAGTCCCATGACGGCCTCCAGCTTCCTATCCTTTGCAGAGCTTTTCTCTTTTGTACTTCAAGACCGGGCCAAAGGCACCCTGTCAACACGCGTCACTTTCCACGATCTCATGACAGTGCTGGTGAAAAGTGTGAGGGAAGTGGAGAGAGCGGTGGCCCAGAAGGACAACCCTCCAGAGGCTCCTCAGTTCACCAAAGCTCTCTCCATCATCCTGCACCTCATCTTTCTGCTTGAGAAGCTTGAGTGCACCCCGGAGCAGGAGCACCAGAAGAAGCACACAGTGTATCGCCTGCTGAAGCTGAACCCTCGAGGACGCAGCGGCTTTACTCCTCTCCACATGGCTGTAGATAAAGAGACCACCTCTGTGGGCCGCTACCCCGTGGGCCGCTTCCCCTCCCAGGCGGTGGCAGCGCTGCTCCTGGAGTGTGGCGCAGATGTTGATTCACGTGACAGTGAAAACAACACGCCTGTGCACATTGCTGCTAACAACGGTTGTCCGGAGATTATGGCACTACTTATGAAAGCCGGGGCTCACTTTGACGCTACAAATGCACAGAGGAAGACAGCCTACGAGCTGCTGGACGAGCAGAGCAGCGGGCACCCGGCCCTCTACCCACTGAGCTACGTCACCCTTCAGTGCCTGGCGGCGCGTGCAATTGAAAAGCACAGACTGCCCTACAGGGGACTCATCTCTGAGGAGATGGAGGCTTTCATTGAACTGCACTGACTTGCACTACTGTCCCCTGATGAGAAACCCCTGCACTGTTCTTCCTGTTGTCCACTATGACCTGGCACAAACTTCCCACTCCACACCAATCTCCTCATCTCTGTGTCCTTTTGGCCCCTGCTTTGCTCCTGGCCCCACCAACCTTGTGTCACACCAAACCATAGCAATACATATCTAGCCTGTGGTCAGTTATCACTCAATTGTAACACTTAAGTCACATGGACTTTACATTTTTGTAGTGCTA